CAGAAAACATAGTCCCTCGGCTGAGAATCCATCAGACTGAATACAAGCATCAGCGAAAACATGGTGCTCTGAGCCCACTTTAAACGGAAACATCACCTGCTGCTCACGGTGTGATGTGTGTTACTCTCTCAGCTGCAGAGTCGCTGCTGTTTATGGTTTGAGAGTAAAGATTAAATATCAAAGCGGAATTTTAACTTTGTATAAATTAGATGTCAGGTCAGAAAATTTGTGTAGGTGTCATGTTTTAGGGTCACAAACAATTTTGCGCTCAAAAATCGAATTATTTATTATAGATGGTCATCAGGGAAATCCAGAGACATTAGACGATTAAAAAAACAACAACTTTAGATCCCCCGTAGAGTTCACACACAGAGGTCGGAGGGATCTTCCACGGATCATGATGCTACTTTCTGGAGACCTGATTGGTCAGTAGATTTCATACCTGTTTATCTCTAATCTGGATCTTAACCTGCTCCGGAGCAAGTTACCTTCACAGCAGCAACGTTACCATGGCGATGTAGCCCCGGAAGAAGTGAATCACCTTCATAGTATAGAAGCCCAGGGTAACCCTGAAGCTGTCTGGATAAGGCCTCAGGTCAGCTGTGTTTTGGTTTTTTTCAACCTCATGTTTCCTTCTTCTCTCCCTGGTTCAACGCTTGGTCTTTGAAAAGCAAATGTTTCTGTTGATTATGCAACGCTCAGTTTCACTTTGACATAGACAGTTTAAAGATTTGCAACCAAACATTGTGAAAGACATGGCCTTACACTGACTACCCCATGCTCCAATTTAGAAAACAGATGGGCATTGTGGCTCTGGAAAGTGAAGATGACACATTAACGGCTGCAGCAGCTGACTCTCTGCTTGCAAAAAGATCACAAACAATAGAGTTTGTGGGTTTAACCACTAGTTTCACATCTTACAGAATGCAACATACAGCGGTTTTTCATAAAATATCTCAAGTAATATACATGTGGTTTTCATGTATCTTCATTCAAGAACAAATACATGCATGGAATAATGTTGTGTAGCCCCTGGTCTCCATTACAAAACACCATTTTACAACAGCACCAAATCTCCATATCATAGATCTTTAAGTTGTAGGTAAAACCCTACCAGATCAGCATGAGTGCTGGCACCACTGCTGCTTGATCATTCAAATGCGTTCCTTAAGGTCCAGCTCATTAACTCACTCACATTACCTCACAGGTACTTACAGCAGTCCAAGCGATCTTTCATCCAGCCTTGCTGTCACAACATGCGCTCTCTTGAAAATGCCACTACCTCTCCACTCTCCATCACTCAACACCACCTCAGCCCGTGACTGCCTCAGAAACAGACCTCGTGCAGCTCCGAGGTTGTTAAAAGCAACAATGCAATCAAACTTTTGAGTCTGTTGCATTTTTCTTGAATTGTTGATGTTACCTTTCTGTTCCATCTTTTCACCTCCATCACTGTGACCGGTGGACCTGCACGTGAACTCCCATTTGTGGCTGCTAAAGAGTGTCTGAATTAATACAAATATGCAGATGTGCTGTAGTTAACTGCCTGTATAAAGACAGATATTGTGCACTGTGCTTTCAAGATTAGAGCCCTTAAATACGGAGTTATTTCTAAGGAGGTTGCCTAAGGGTTTGATAGACAAAGAGGGATCATGGGACAAATTCTAGAAAACAAATGTAGGATTTTCAGCCCGTCTGTACCTTGTATAGCACAGAATAGGAAGGGTACCTCAATCAGACCGAATACTTTCAATGAATAAACATCTACGGCAGCCCTGCACTGGTGACCCATCTGGGCCCCTGGACACACAGAGGCTAACACGACTTAACATCATCACAAGTAAAATGTTTCGCTGTGAAACTTGGTCAGGGGGCAATGACTGAATACTTCACTTTGCACATGGTGGTAAAACTGCTCCTGTTCTAATGTTAACTAACAAAATAAAAATCCATTTTCACTCAAAGTGATCTTCTGGTGACTTTCAGTGAAATGGTGCACAGATGATTCCAGTTCATTTACAGTCACACAGCTCGGTGGAAACACAGGTCCACATGCTCCTGTGAGAGGAGGGACTTTGACCAATGCAGCATACCAGGAGCTTCTCAACATCGCTCTCACTCCTCTGTCTCCTCTCAGCTAACATACTATCCGTGTACATAAAACCACACAGTGACAATAGCATAGTAATTTATTAGGATTGAACATTATATTTCCAGATCAGGAAGAAAGTAGACAAATAAAGCTTTTCTCTCACTTGAAATTTGTACATATTTACAAAATGTGTTGCTCTGCCTCCATCTTTTTTCTTTGGAAATAAAACAGAAACTTTGTACCTCGTGTTTTTATTCCAAAAACCTTTCAAGACGATCCCACACACAGCGAGAAAGATGGTGAAACTTTAATTTTTAATGGCTTTAGAAATATTTTTAGTGCACGGGAGCAACACAGAGGCAGTGTCAGTGACTGAGCTTGTTTGTTGAGGGATCAGTGTACACTGATAACACTGTACTGCTGTGTGGTGGGTGGGTGGGTGGGTGGGTGGTGCTGGAGTGTCTGCTCCACTAAAATCCATCAGTGAACATCTGTTTGGTTGTGAGTGTGAAACGTGTCTTTAACCCTATAATGCCAACTGTTTCATATTTGATAGATGAGTCTTTGAGACTTTCTCCCCGCCGAAAAACAAATAACTTGCTCAACAAATCAACAATAAATAGTAAAAAAAACCTAAATAAAAACAACCACATATATGCAAAATAATATTTAAGTTCTTTAAGAAAAATTGTCAGTAGTTTTAATGAACTACATTTGTTTTATAAATGTAATTTTCTAGTAATGATTGGTTCAGGCTTTACAGGGTTAACATGATTTGTGCCACTCAACACAAAAACATGACTAATGTATTAATGGGCTTGTTATGTATCATCCTTAATGGTTTTCTTCTCAGTCATTTACCTGCTGCTCATATACTACACCCACACATACTTCCATCCAAGTGCAAAACTATTTTTTAAACCTCAGTTTTTGAATTACTGCACTAAAAAGAAAACGATATTAGCAGAAATGCTTCTTTAGCCTCTCATCAAAATCCCGTCAGCCTCTATTCAAAGAGACCGTGTAAACAAAGGTCAGACTGCTGCTGGTGTAAAAATACTACACAATTAAGCATGTACTGTTTATATACCTGATCTTACTGCTGACTAGTTCCTCACATCTCTGTTAAACCACTGTGCTGTCACTGTCGAGCATCCCGTGCTGCCATCTCTGTCCTCTGTTATCTGTGAGCAGACACTACAGCAGCGTCACGGAGCGCCACGAGCTTGAAAGTGTAATGCAGGAGTGTCAGTCTTTCAGTGTTGGTTTTATTTGTTCACTTTTGTTCTCACCTCTGCTGTTTGGTTAGAGTACTACCTGGTTAGAGCAGAGCTAAAGCACTTTTGCTGCATTAACCCCGCCCTCGGAAATATGACACTGAAGGCTACATATAATCATGTACACGCCCTGAGCGAGCCTCCCTGTGTGATGCACTGGGAGAATCCAGTTATCTGGAAACATAACGCTGCAGAAAAACAGAAGCACAAGTGATGAATATTTAATGGACTCTTCTCTTTGGCATGTTTGACTGGCTTCCTCGTAATGGCTCTGTTATCTGTTGTTCAAAGAGGAGCAGTTCAGCAAGGACACGCCATTTTTGTCATGACGAGAAGCAGCTGTCAACACAGGGGAACGCACACAAGCAGATTCAAACCAGTGGTGTGTATCACAGAAGTCTTCTTCTCACGTGTTTGTTCCACTTTTCAGCATTGGGCTGTTTAGTAAGAGTCAGGTGCTTCTATTAAAAAGAATAGGAATATTAAGCTTCATGTAGAGTAAACATAACAAGTGAGTGCAGCAGTAAGTAAAGCAATGTCTCAACCTCGACTGTCATTCCGCACACAGGTGGATGGAGCACACGAGCCTGTGGGTGTCCAGTGTATGATGGGTGTGTTATGCACACCGGCAGGGCTTTGTGAGGGTGAATAAAGGCAATAGAAATGGGGGTTAGAGTGGACCCTTGTCCACATGCAGAGGTATGTAGTGTTCTAATATAACAGTTGTCCTTCTTTGATTTCACTCTTGGCTGGGTTTGTGAACCATCTGTCTAATAAAATGTCCAGTTTCGTTATTAAAATCTTAAGTTGAATTTAAATCAGCGTATAAGAGTTTGGTGACTGTGATGGGAGAGCCCGGGTCAGTGCATGCTTTAGATATGTGACAATAAAAGTGATTTGATTTGATTTTGATTTGATATGTTGCTGCAGGGTCTGAAATGATAGCTTGGGCAGAAATGAAGGACCAATGAAATGAGCAGGAAGCTTGCTACACTGACATATAAACAGTGCAGGGTCAGCTCTGTGTAATGTACATTTCATCAGTACTTTGTTACAAATCAGATTAACTGCTGCTACACGTATACCTGCTGCCAGTGATGTACCAGACACATGGAAGGCACTTCAGCTCAAGATCAAATAAACACAGATTTTTTAATTTAAGGGGTCTGTTTCATTCACAATGAATGATGGTTTAACCTGCTGTGTGTGTGTGTGTGTGTGTGTGTGTGTGTGTGTGTGTGTGTGTGTGTGTGTGTGTGTGTGTTCTACAAGTAAGGAGTGCACAACAAGCAACAAAAGTTAGCTTCAGCAACACTTAAAAGAAATCTTGCTTGTGATTGGTCAAGTTAAGCTTTTCCAGGCTCAGGTGCTGTCGATGTTCGGACCTGCTGCTGGACAAACTCTTCTGAATCCATCCAGTTTGGCATTATTGGAGCGTGGGCAGGATAGTCTCCAGAGCAGTCTGTTACCTTGGGAAAGACTTCAGCTAAGTCAGTGTGTTACCCTGCCTGACCTTTGACCTTTGATGGTACAGTCTGTGTGACGGGAAGGCTGGGGCAATGTCTGGGGCCAAGCAGACAGAGACAGACACACACTGTCAGCTGTGCGACTGGGTGTTAGGAGTTCACTCCTCAGATGAAGAAGTCACTGTCGTTTGGAGAATCCAACATCACTGCACCTTTGTTTTCTAAAGACAAACACAAGAGTTATGTAGCAGGATACCAGTACACAGAACACCGCTCCACCCATGACCGTCTTCACTTTGAGTCGGTCTGACTGTACCTGCCTGCGCGTCCTTCCCTCCTTTTCCTTTCTTCTTTTTCTCCTTCTTCTCTTTGGATTTGGTCAGTTGAAGTAGTCTGGAGGGGAGCTGGGACTCCTTCTCTGCTCCCTGAGCCTTAGAGGAGAAGGGGTTGAAGTTTTTGCTCATCCTCTTGGATCCAATGCGGAGGAAAGGTTCTTTGGTTGGGGCGGAGGATGAGAGCTCCACCTGATGTTCACCCACAATATTAGTCATTCAAGGGCTCATGCAGCAGCTTCCTAAACTCTAACACAAACGCGGTTTTAAAGCAGGACCTTGTTCTTACCTCTTTGGCTTGTTCTGCTATTTCTTTTAAATCCAGATCCAGGGACCCGGTGCTGTGGAACCTTAAGGAGTCGTCTGAGTTTGTGGAGGGAGTGCGCTGGTACCTCTGAAGCTCCTCCAACTGGAAAAATGATTAGATCATGCATGAAGATGCGAGTGAGACGGTGAAGGATATCTATCGGTTCATTTCCACCAACTGGTTTTCTTTTTGAAGCTTCTGTCATGGCTCTGAGAGTCATTATGCCAAATTTCCACTCTCCACCTCCAAAACTTGGCATGGCAAGAGGAAGCAGACATGGAAAAACAGAATTCACTACATCCAGTGCATAAAATACTACAGCGTGCATGACATGTAGTTTACTGATTGATTTGTGATGATTAGGTGAACGTGCACAGAGACTACAGCTACACAGCAGCCTGCCTGTGACGACACTCGAGTGCTCGAGTGCATCAGACTAGCAGCGCCTTCATCATACATGACCTCTGACCTGCTCTCTATTTGCGTCCACCTTCTGATTGTCTCTCCTCAGAGCCTCCTCGTCTCTCTCCAGCCTCCTCTGCGCCTCCCTCAGCCACTCCACGTCTCTCTGGTACTCTTCTTTGCTCCTCTGTAACATCTGCATCTCTTCTGTCAGCTCCCGACATTTCCGCCTCGTCTGCTCCTCTTCCTCCCCCAGCCTCTCCTCCCGATCTGCCAGAGCTCTCTCTTTCAGCTCCCACTCTCTGTCTCGTTTCCTCTTTTCTTCCTGATGTGCAGCCTGCTGTTTCTAAAACAAACCACAAGTGTGATGTCACAAGAAGCTGGATGAAAACATGAATCCTGCCAAACAATGGAACGCTGAGCTCACTGCAGCCATGACTCAACATGTGAAAGCAGCAGTAGTGAGAGCTAACCTGCAGGCTGGCCACCTCCTGCCGCTGCCTCTCCAAACTCCTGTGCTTCTCCTGCTCAATGAGGGAGGAGGGGCGCGAGCTAGTTGAGGATGAGAGCGAGGAGCAGGAGGAGGAGGAAGAGATGGACTGTCTGGAGGAGGTGGTGCTGAGTTGGCTGCTCAGGGCTTGCCTCTGGTCCTCAATAAATGAGTCCTGCTGGATGACCACAGCCTGCAGGCAGGGACAGACGGTCAATGTAAAGTGAAAACTTAGCCTGAACGTGACCTCTGCTGTAAACGTGTATGTGTACCTGCAGGGAAATGAGCAGCTCATGGAGACGTGTCACACTGCGCTGGAGCTGCTGGAGAAACACACCATCACACCAGAGTCAGTAAAAACAGCTCAAACTGCTGTTTATACAAATAAGACCTCCAGTACATCACATGACTGGGTTCATCTTTATTTTCCTCCTGACATGTAGAAAGAGCTAGGGATGGTCACAGTTGTCAAGAAAAAAATAACAGCTTATGCAACAACTTCTGTCCTTCTGCTGGTGTCTAAGAAGATAAAATGTGTAAACACCACCAGCAGGTGGCAGCACTGGACCTACAATTGCTTGCAGCACACCATTAAACAACAGGAAGAGAAGAAGTGGCTTTGCAGACAGCTGCAGCAGTCAGTGAAGACAAGCTTAGACTGGAAAATTCTCAGTGACGGCAGCTCATCACAGAAAGGAAGCAGAAACTGTATTCTTATGAAACAGCCACGTCCATATTTTCAGCATCACTTTCAAAGCAGTTTTGAAGCTTTTCTTGTAAAAGATATTCTTTGTCCTGTCCTTATCAAAAGTCCTGTGTGATGTAGCTAAAGTGATGGAGTAGTACTAGTGTGTCTGTTTGTGTTTGAATGAGGAGCCCACTTACTTCATTGTTTCTCTTTAGCAGGGTCTGCAGGCTGGCAGTGGCTCCCTGAGGCACACACACACAGTTCATGTTAGCACATTGCAAAGTGCTGGTCAGGTAACATCAGGATGTGGACTGCAGCGAGCAGAAGTCAGAGGATGGTAAAGTTCTGAACCTCTGATGGCTCACAGGGGAAAAGTAAAGTGCTGTGCAAAAACATTTATCGCACATATTTCCATTTTTTTAAAATGACTGTGACGTCAGAGAAGCAGCCTTCGATGTCTGCTCTGACTGACACTATCAACTACACTGTCGACTCAACTTCATAACACTAATACCTGCGCTGATCTTGTTCTTTATTACATATGGATTTCCCACTCTGTTTATAGCAGCCATGCCTCTTCCCATTTGATCAGTTAGGCACATTTCGTTTTCATCACAGTAAAACCTGCAGGAACGTATTAAAGAAATGAGTCGTCTTAAATGAGATGAATAACCCTATGTGAAACACACACATCCCTACCTTCTTCAGCACGCTGTCGGACTCAGTCCTGCGGAGGTCCACTGACTCCTCGCCCTCTTCCTTTTCTCCATCTGACAGTAAGAGGAGGTGAAGGCTTTTAAAGGCTGGTCATGATAAAGACAGCTGCTGTGATGACGGCAGAGTCGGTCTCACAGGAGCGTGAACACCTGCCCTGACATCTTTGATGACCTGCTCGTGTCTTACTCTTGCTGCTGTTCATCTGATGACTGTCGAAGCCTCCAAACGTCTCCGCTCGTCTGGGCAGGCAGACTGGTCCCACGGCGCCCCCTGTCAGGCCGCCTGGACCGCAGGCCTCTGCACCAAAACCTCCGCTGACCAAAGCATGCAGGGCCTCCACTGACAGAGAGGAACAGGTTTGAACACGTCATCTCTGAGATGCACATGACGAGAAGTAACCTCAGAGGCCTGCTCACCTTCTCTCACAGCATCATTTATGACCGGCTCTCCTTTGGTGACGTTATCAGGTGTGGCTCTGAACAACATCCGCTCCATGACCGATGTGTTAGCATCCTCTGGAGACAGACTGCAGTTACCCAGCTCTCTAAAGATGTGTATCTTCTCCTCCAATAGACTGATAATCTGCTCATCCTTCCTCTGCAGAAGCTCTGGAATCAGGGACAAATGCAAACACACTCAACATGACACAGGACTCCCCGCCCACTACAGCACGTTAACTGGAACATCGGCTGCTCACCGCGGATCTCCTTTGCTCTGTTCTCCTGGTGTCTCCGGTCTTCTTCCGTCTCACTTGGGAGTCCCTCATCCTTATCTTTCTCCCTGTCAGAACACAAATGAAGGCCTGGCGTGATGTTCGAACACTCTCCAGCTTCTGCTTTCAGCTCAGATAACTGTACCACATTGCTCACAATGCTCAAACGTGCACTGCTGGAAACAGAGCAGCTCTAACTCCTTTGCTAGATAAAAAAATGAAAAGCTTATTTTAAAGGCCCTACAAGCTCTGCACAGAGGTCTGCCATACTGAAGATTTTATTTCTACTTCTTTGTTAGGTTTTAATTTGTGGTTTCAGTTATTATTGTCAGTCATTTCATCTTAAACTGCTTTTAATTTGGCGATCTCACTTTAATTTAATCATTATTCTAATTAATCTTTTTTTGTTCCTGCTTCACAAACAGTTTTAACGTGTATTCGATTTCTTTACTGGTCAAATGTTGTTCTTTTTTCCTAAATGACCTTTTTCGCATTACTTAGCTGTGCTTGTGCTTAGCTTTGTCTAATGCACCATGCTACATCATGTACAGAGTTTGATGGCAGTGTTATCCACGGGACCTCACACTGTGCAGCACTATTTCTTCCAGCAGGGAAGAAATAAAGTTTTGCTTTTTTGAATAAATAATCCACAAATTGAGCTCCACACTTTGGAAATGGAGCATCTGTAAACGGACTGCCATACTTGCAGTCTTACTCACCCCTACAAGCCACATCAAAGCATACATCCATACAGCACTTTACTTTGTGTTTATCCACCTCACACCCACGGCCTCTAAAAATCACCAGTGCAGCTGAGGCGCATGCTCGGACTGTGGGAGGAAGTCACGTAGGCACAGGGGGAACATGCAGACTAAAAGGCTTCAGCCAGGATTCAAATGAAAACTTTACTGCTGTGAGGAGACCGTGCTAACCGCTGCTGTGTGCTGAGCACCCACTACACTTGTGTAAAACATATTATTTCCTTTGACCCCTCATGTTAGGAACAAACTTCTGCAGAAAGGACTTGAAGTGCATCTGCCAGTGATCTTTGTGTGTGTGTGTGTGTATTCTCACATGCACTGCATAGCGTCCTGTATAATGGCCATCCATGTGTTGCGCTCCTCCTTGCTGCTGGCCAACACCTCCACCATTTCTGGCTTTTCTGTGCCAGCTGTGATCAGAAACAGACCTGCAGGAGACACGAGGCAATCCTTGATGAAACCATTGTGGTTCGTGCTGACTAAAAGCCAGACTGAATCACACAGTGACTGAAATCCGCAAAAGATGTGAGAGAAGGAAGGAGACTGACCTCGCTCCTCATTTGCCACTTCTCTTACAATGAGTTTGTGTAAGGAGATGACCGTGGAGCGCTGGTCCTGGGAACAAAGGCTCCAAATCAAACCGAATCCTTGGGTACAATCTTATGTATGTGCCGAGTGCCAAACTTACCAATGAGGCAAATACATATTTCTGGTCTTTTTCCTGAAGAAACACCAGCACATCTGTCAGGAGCATGGCGTGGACTTCTGCAACACACAGAAACAAACATTACAGCGAGCTCCAGTCGGAATAAATTCACGTCAGGTTTGGTCCAAAGATACAAATGTGATGAACCTTTGAGTCTTCCTGCAGAGTTTTTCAGCTGCAGCGCTCCATCGTGCAGCAGCTTCCTCCCTCTGATCAGGTCCTCTTTAGCGAACATCTGACCACTCTTCATCCTCATGATGGACTTACTGTCAGTGCGACTGCAGTGAGACATTAAAGGTTTACACTCAGGCACATTTAAGAGCACTGCTGTTTCTGCAAGCTAAGCTTACAGAAAAAATCTAAAACTACATGCAGAGAGTAAAACACAGGCTGAACATCAGCACTGCTCTGAGCAGTCAGCACGACTAGAAAAGTGGTATATATGTGGAAGGTACAGCCCAGGTATCAGCCAGCCTTTAAGCTTATTCATCATTCAGCGTTCATCAGTTGACATTGTGTAACGTATACTTCAGGCATTGGTTTGGGAGCGTTTGTGGAGCGCTCTGAGCTAAGAGTGGGCAGGGAGGGGACTGTCTGGAGGAATGAACTGCTCTGATGACCCACGTGATCAGCTGATCCAGGAGTAGGCAAACTCCATCACTGACACTACTGAGTACCTGTACACCTCCTTCAGGCGCTGTTTCTTCTCCTGCTGGTTGACTTTATTATCCACAGCCGTAATCAGCTCCTTCACAAGGCGCAGCGCGTCAGAAACCAAGCCGTGCTCCTTATCTGACTCTGTTCAGAGATTCATAAAGAGTTTAGGATGAATTATGTTCTGAGGAAAGATGTTGGACACAGTGTCACCGCACAGTTTTTAGGTGACGTTTGAAGAACAATGAAAGATGCGCTTGACTCCGTGGATGCTGCCACGGGTCTTCATTCTTACCTTTGGTGTGCTGAAGGATCCTCTGGATCAGAACAGGATATTTGGTGATCCTCTGAGTCACCAACAAAATGCACTCTGGGATGCTGAGCCGCCGCACAACACTGCTGCTCATTGTTCTCTGCACACAAAGATACTGAGGTCATGCATAGATCCCAGACAGTGCAGGTGAGGTCCTCTGATGTGCTGCGTGTACAGAGAGCAGCTCTGACCTTGACGAAAGCCTGGAAGCGTTTATCTTTGGCGTGCAGTTCTTTGTACAGACTGACGGCTTCGTTGTGGCGACTGCAAAACTTCCCATAAACTTTTGTCATGCGGACAGAGCTGCAGCCTGAAAACTGAATTTAAGAAGTCACAAAAAAGAAAGTAAACACATTTAAGGTGGAAGCAAATTCAGCGCTTTCCATAAGATGCTGTGAATATTGTAGTTCTTCCATTAACTCAAAAGAACTGCAACTTAATGGAAAGACTGCCATGATCTTTACTGCAACCACTGACACTACCAAACGACACCCCTGATTTCCAAACAGATATCTTAGAGTTAAACTTAACTAAAAGACAACAGCACACACTCCACACACGAGGAGTGTAAGGGCCACCAGAAATGGATTTATTTCAACTTTATTTACCACTGACACGCACGCATACACCCTCCTCGTGTCCTCGTCTCACCTGTTTAACTAAGATGTCTCCAATGCTGCAGATGAGGAAGTTGTTGCTTTTCTGTCTCTCAGTTGATGCATTTCTTTTTCTCTCCAGGAGCAATGAGAGGAATTCTGTGTGGAACTCCAAGAGATCGTCCAAAACAGGGAAAATCTAGGGAAATGTTGGACAGACAGGTCGTTATACTGTGTGTACCCAAGCATGTCCACGGGTGAAATTGCTCTTTGATCACCTTGTTCAGAGTTTGAAGATCAAGCTGCAGCTCCTTCTGAAGGCCTTTGTGATACACTTCCGACATAATCTTCAGAGTCCTCACATGGTGAACCTCCGTCTGGTACAGCTCTGTGCAGAGAAAACACTCTTATCTCCATGTTTGGCCCCGACAGCAGTCTGTCACTCCCCACTGAGTCACAGCACAGTTTACCATAAATGACATCTTGTCTCTTCACTTCATCTTTCTTCAGGGACTTCAAGAACTTCTTATCCACCATGCCGCTCCAAGAATCAGCTGCCAGATCTTTAATGTCATTTTCAAACTCCATCAGCTGGGTCTCAGTGATCTCAGTACCTACACACACACACACACACACACACACACACACACACACACACAGCAGCTCAAACCATCATTCTTTGAATCTAAACTGTGTGTGTGTGTCTGTGCGTGTGTGTGTGTGTGTGTGTGTCTGTCTGTGTGTGTGTGTGTGTGTGTTGTGTTCTACCTTCATCAGTGAGAGACTCAGTTGAAGCGTTGACTTTGCTCCCCTGATGGAGAGAGTCGGTGGACTGGGACAGCACTTTGAGGCGCTTGAGTGCAGCATCGTCTAACCTGAAGGAACAAAACTATGAAGATGAGCAGGATTTTAATGGCTTTGCTTTCTACATACATCACATAGTCACAAGAACAATATGACGCCTTTGGAGCTGCCACTAGTTCTAGTGACAAGAACAGAAAAACCCGTCTTCACGTCTGTGAAGAGCACATCGAGCGACGGCATGTGTGCTCAGTGCTGAGACAGTCACTTGTGCTGGTGTGCACACGTGACGTTTAGAGCTAACTGGGAATTTTCAGAAACAAAGTTAATTAGTCGTAACGTCTTACGATGGTATGTTGCTAATGGAGATGCTCTTAGCCAGGTTGCTGTGAGGGCTGAAGGTTCTGCGGTTTCTTCTCGGAGACAGCATAGGAAGGTGGTCGTTGGGCATTGTTACTGTTGACCAACGTGACGATGAGGACCTTGATGACAGCGATGATGTAGAAGATGTAGCTAGATAAAAATATATCAAAACAGAAAATGAATTTGATTATTTGCTCATTAAAAAGCAGCAATCTAGTTCTTTTGTAGTTCTCTTCCTCATACTATGAGCCAGAAGGTGTCTATCAGTGGAACTGCTGGGACATCAGAAGCTCTGTCTACCAATCAAAAGCAGCTCCCTCTCTCTGCGTGTGCTCCGTCTGCTCAGGTCTGAGTTGCAAGCATGCTTTAGAGCTTTAGTTCGATGAGAACTAAAGCTCCCTCAGAAATGCTGCATTGCTACCTCCCAGTGTCCTTATTTGACTTGCTCTTTTACAAACTGAGTAAAAAGTCAAACATGCTGCACTCAATCATAAGCTTGTTCTGTGTTTGTGCCATCACTGTACGCTGGCTTTGGAGTGACAGCTGGACCTTTTTTCTATCCTGACAGAGGAACAGCACTGAGTGAAGACAGGAATTTGTCTTCAAGTACATGTGTACATTAACGTTGTGTTGCACTTTGCAGTGCGGACAGTGTGCGTTTGTGCGACAGAACGTGGAAACCTCTCTTCTTTTGCTAATGGGCTTCTGCTGATCATGGGAGTGGTGGAATAGATTCAAACTCAGCAGCTTTCTTAGTAACACAGCTGTGCAGTTATTTTAAAGCACCTGTATCTAAATGAATGACTTGAGACCCACAGCTTTATTTTAATGGTCACTAGGACATATACAGATAAAATTACCAGTCAAATCTGAGGGAAACTGGGAATTTTTAGACGGATTGATATAAAGGATTCTTTGAAAGTGTCTTTAGCTTTAGTTGATTCGCTCCCCTGTGTCTCCTCTGTAAAGTTCTCCATGTGTTCTTACTTTTACTCCTCGTGTTAACAGACGACCCAGGAACGCCTTCTGGCACCGCCGCTTGCTGATAGAGACAAACATGACAGATTAAACTTAAAGAAGACTTGTAAAATACATTTATGATGGATTTATACCTCACCTCTAAATTTGAACATGTGATTTAGCTGTTCATCTACAGTTATTCCTGATGGTAACACATTCATCATGAGTCTGTGTACCATACCTACCTTTATTCTGTTCTTTGCACAGACAGACGGGCTCTCCGTGGATCTGTCACTGACGAGGACCCCACAGTCTGCAGGCAGCACAGAAACAGCTATGTTAGTGTATTCACCCCCAACCACACACACACACAGGGTGCCACATTCATCTCACATACTTTAATGTCTTACTGACCTCACAGCACTTTAGAGGGCAGGTCACATACATTTATGCAATGCTTTATTCTTACAGCTGCCATAATGTCAGGAGCTACAGTGGCTCATCTCTGCAGCAGCGTTTCTGACACACATGCTATATTTCACTTCATAGCTGGATGTACTGTGGTGGGTTCACTAAGGAGGAGCCTCATCATCAGCATCACTCTCTTAGGAAGTCTGAGTGCAGCTGGAGCCTCTAAGCACCGTGCTTCTCTTCATTGGTCCTCGGAAATTCTCCTTAACACTCTTCCTTGACCTCATGACCTTCTCCATCAAGGTCACCGTGAAGTGGAACAGGAAGTTTTGGACTATTCAGCTATAGCCTTGATATTTCCGTCTCTTTAACACTACAACATCCTTTGACACTCTTCTATTCTGCGTGCAAAGGCAAAGAAACCAGAAGGCAGTGACTGCTGCCATGGCTTCAGTCCGGCTCACAGGAAGAAGAAATACCAGCGCTGGTCAGTGCTACCCCTCAGCCTCCAGGCAGATACACCTATGGTATCAATGTCAAACTCATACCTCGCCTCGTTTTGAAGTCATCACATTCACACACTTGTGCATCCATGCCGTCCGCACACATACAACAGTACTCCATCAGCCTTTTATGGCTGATGATTGAAAAACTAAACCCATAAAGAAACAAACATAAAATCATCCGCCAGAGAAACTGGCAGGTTCTGTCCCCAGGTTTGGCTGCCTCCTCCGGACTGTCCCACTCAGCTTTAACCTTTTCTTTTGCTCAGTTTTCCAGCTTCTTTGTACCTGCAACACCTTCCATCATCTTACCCTGAGTATTTTCCTTCAGTTTGAGGCTTCAAGTCTGCAACTCCACAAATACTGTCCAGTCAGCTCTGTCTGTAAAGGCTGGGGTGCTAAAGAGGTCTGCTGGTTCTGTTCCTGTTATTAAAGGCCAAACAAGTACAGAGTGGATCCTACCACAGCAAGCCCAGCAGCTGTGTGGACTGTGGGTGAAAAACCATACAGGCAGAGGAGGACCAAGCACAAGCCACACAGAACCCTGTTGCTGTCTGATGACTGCCCAGACTATTAACCACTACTAATCACGACTAACCACTTCTATGTAAACAACTACAGCATTATTACACAGAGCAGTATGATGGTGTTATCAAAGGTGTGAAAACGCATGGAGATAACGAAGTACGGAGAAGAGGAAGTGGTGATCCCAGACTGGAGGTGAGATAAAAAGCAGGAAGGAAAGAGCAGAAATGCAGCAGGAGAGTAAGAGAGCTGGCACGTGTCAGAAAGACAGCGCTACGAGGGCCTTACTGTTGCAGGAGAACGTTTCCTTATTGCACAGGAGTCTGCCGCTGTGCTGACACAGCGTGGAGCCGGGGGGGCACAGGGGGGCCTTTTCTCGTGCTTTGCTCTCTTGCTTACCCTCCCCCCTCCTCTCCTTGTCCTGAAAACAGCAAAGACACCAACACACTTTAAAACCTGACATTTCTCATTCCTTTGAATTGAGATAGTGCACTGTTCATTTCTGCATGCCACCACACACACACACACACACACACACACACACACACACACACACACACACACACACACACACACACACACACACACACAGTTCCTCTTTTGTTGTCTGTCTGGTTGTTTTGCAGAGTTCTGTCCGTCTTGACGAAGCCACTATTTTACCATAACGTATATGATGGCATTCGATAAAAATAAATCTTTTTCTGAGATGTATGATGTCACACTTCGTTCCTGTTTTTGGCTTTAGATTTCCTTTAACAGTTTCAGCAGGGTTTTGTATTGTTACGTCTCAGTTTTAGTGCAGTTATTCATTTATTTGAATATTTGGTTTCACTTCAACTTTATTTAAATTCAGTTCCCTCTTTGGTTTTTTGGGTAGGGGGTCTGCTGCGTACGAGAAATGCACAATGAGTCACATTAAACTCGTCTGAACTCAGACTAATTACCTCTAACAAATGCCAACAAATGCCACTGTGTCCACACTGATATTTGGCATATAACCTGTATCATCCTGTGATAAAAGGCAAACACAGCACATCAAAAACATTTTACTATTCGATTTTTTCATGGAATAATAAAAATATCTCAGTTTAAACACTTGATATGGTTTCTGTCTTCTATTGCAAATAAAACATGACTTTAAGAGATTTGTAAGATTTGTAAGTCATTGCACTGCGTTTTTATTTCCATTTTACACAACATCCCACGCACGGCTTTGATGTGCAGACCTGTAACTGCACAGCTCTGCAGTGAACCACAAACTATCGTCACACTGACTTCACCACAGTAGCCCACAAGTAGCTGCAGTGAGGTCAGCCTGACTGTGCTTGTATGACCCAGCCAGGCTTACAAGCCACAGATCATCTGATTATCAGATCATATAGTCATCATATAGTCCGGGTGTCCAAAGCACTATATTAGTATCTGGTGTATTTTTGCTAACCATGAGAAAAATTCCAGTCCACTCACAAACAAAACTTTAAATATTGCAGGTATATTTGGGTCAGTTTGTATGCATCCCTAGTCACAGAGTACACAACTTACACACACATGGCTGTGTGCAGTCCAGCATGCAGAGTGACAGTGAAGACTCTGTACAGGTGGAATCATGGCGGAAAAGTTCACTTAAAGAAGAAAGAGAGCCACAATGGAGCTCTTTGTGACTTAAAAAAAAGAAACTATCAAAAAGCCTGCATGAAGAACAGACAGTTGGTTTCACTTCATTACAAACTAGTTGTCTTTCATGACATCTGTGTTCTCTGCAGCAACCCACAGAATTTTGACACTTCCCCCTTTGACAGATACAACATGCAGACAGTCTGCAGCGCTATGCTGAACTGCCCGCAAACAAACAGTCTGACAGCTCCAACTGCGAGCAGTTACAATGCACTGCTGCTTTTATAACTACTTTATATATCACCCATTCACTTTTTCCACCGATTAATCACATTTGGACCAGAGAACAACATGGGGTCAGTATCCTGCCCAAGGACACTTCATCCTGCAGACTGGAGGAGCCAGGGCTCGAACCACCAACCGCGCGATTAGCAGATAACCTGCTTAACATCCTGAGCTACAGCCACCAAAGTTTGGCATGCTGTGTTTTAAATGCTTCATCACCCAAAAACACAGTGAACACAGTCAAATGTTCACCTGTGCTGAATACTTCATGCACCTGACAAAGTATGGAAAAATTCATCATTTCAATACATTTGCAAAAATAAAGAATATAACTGAAATACCCTGGTCTTTATCAGCCAGGGCACACACATGGACACATCAGCGTTACGCTCTACAGTCATCTCCAAACATGTTAGAAAAGAAGAAGTGGCTGCATCACATCCTGTGTGTAAACATTTCTCACCTTGACTTTCTTGCTCATCTTGTTGCGGAGGTAGCTGAATCTCCGACCAATTTTAGGCCCTCCTTTTCCCTCAGTTTCGCTCTGCAGGGGACCTGGCTCATCCTCTGAAATACTGAACAACACAAAGGGAACTTTCAAAGGCACAATGCTCATTTCTATTTATATCAGCAAATGCTTTCCTGTTCTCTCAAATAAATGAAACCCATTAACATTACAATCATGGGCCTGAAGAAACAGAATAACAAACTCAAATGAAAAACCCAACAGGATCAGCGTGCCATGCACTCAGTTACATGCAGCCTGTGCTGCATCTCTTCAGTATGATGTGCTTTAAAAGTGAAGCAGAGAAAAAAAGATTTATTAGCTTCTCTTCCTACCTGGATGCCAGTGACCCAGAGTGACTGCAGAATGAGTTCACACCTGCATGAGGCAAAGACGACAATCATCATTTGATCAGGACAACACAGCTGTAGTCTGAACTGCACAGCAATGTCTTCAACGCCACAGTTACCAAGCAAAGCCTGCTTTTAGTAATTGGTTGACACGACAACAAAAGTGATGACTGATGAACTCCATTGCACTTCTAACCCTAATAAAATGACTAAACACAAAGTTAACCAAAGACATTGGCAGATGTGCTGAGTCAGTACTAGCGCCGTGCTCTGTATCACTGGCAAGAGTACCGTAAGAAAAATAAACGTGCACAGCTACATACTGTTTTTCAGATGTCAGCAGTTCCTTGATAGCCTGCCTTACCTTTTCTGTGGGCGGCTTCGTGTTTACAGACTGCATCCTATGTGCTCTGTGTAAGTGTCTCACCTGCAGCAGCCTTCAGCACGGCTGCTCAAACAATCAATCATTCCCTTCACACTTTGTCATGGGTAACATTACGACAATAACACTGTTTTAGTAAAAGAACCACCTGAAAGTAATGTTAATGCACTAGCTGGTCAGAGGTTTAGGTCACATTGAGCACGGCACACTGAAAGGGAGACACTCGTCACACTTACACAGTTTATTAGTTTAGGCTTCTGAAGACAAACACGTGGGGTCCAGCAATGGGTCGACACATTTGAACTGCTTTGATGGTCAGTGTTACAGGACACCAGACTGACAGAGGGAACACTACAGGGACATTCTTCATACTTACTCCCTCCCTCCTCCTCCTCATCACTGGAGGAAGAGCCAATGGAAAAGAAGCGTCTAGTTTTTGGGAGGAGCGGAGAGATACTGACAGAGAAGCTGATTCGTCGCTTTGATGGAGGAAACCCACTCGCTAAAAGGTATTCATGGGTGCAGCAGGATGAAAGAATCTTAGCGGAGAACGTCGAGAATCTTTACTTCTCAGAACAAACGAGAGGCAGAGACAGAGGACTGAGAGACTCACCCTGTACGTCCCGCTGAGTGACGGTGACCATGGAGATGGATTTGGTGAGAGTTGGATGATGAAAGATGGCAGGACAGCTGACAATCAATGATGTCTAACAACACACAAGAAATGAAAATGACAAGTATATAAATCCGTCCTCTCATCGAATAACAAAGCAAAAAAAAAAAAAAGTAAAAGGACACACCTGGCTATCAATGCTGCTGCTGTCTCCTTCCTGCTCCTCCTCGGTTAGGGAGGCCAGAGACCCCCTGTCCAGGCTCTCCACCTGTGAACTCCTGCCTGCAGCCACCACCTCCTGATCACTGATGCTGGCACACTGTGTCTGGTCCTGCACCACTTCTGTGCCCACTTCTAGACTTTCTAGACTGTGGCTGGATGAAAGGAGAAATGAAGTAGGACCATGTTTCCTGACTCAGGTGGCACACTGTTTTCTGCTGGTGATGTCAGTGCACGGCTCCTCCACTTATCACTCAATACTGTAGTATAAAACCAGTGCTCTGCTCTGTGTCTGTCTCCTCATAGTAAGTAGACTAAGCAGAGTAGTTATTATTTTACAACTTCTATACTTTTATAGCCTTTCAGGACTTTCTGCCAACTTTCTTTTAATTTAGTTCTGGTTCGTATTCATGTCCAGGTTCTATCCATCCATGCATGCACAACTCTGATTTATACACCAGTGTCGTTGGTGACCAGCTGTCATAGGGCGAGAGGTGGGGTAAACCATGGATGGGTTTGACTGTTTTTACATCCTGGACGAACCCCCAAATTGTTATATTTCACCAAAAGACTTGGGCAGAGAGTGGAATAAGAATAAAGTGTCTGGGTGGAAAAGCTGTGCACCGGCTCCACAAGAGAAAGGAGGCTGGCACCTGGAGCAGAGAGAGAGAAGCCACAGCATGCCTGCTAGGCTGAACCACACGTCTAACCAGACCTCATTTCATAATGCGCATTGGTATGTTATTGTGTCATCTTTCTCTGTGCTCGTCTTACATCATAGTCAGAGGTTTTAAGTCGCTCTTCTATCGAAGAGCTGTTGAAACGAAACAATATCTGTGTATTACTGTTGGACTTCTGCCATTTACCTTCTGCTGTCTATTTGCTCCTGATCAGGAAAAACCAGGTTGGATGGACACCAGCTCATACTGGAGAAATGGACAGATGGGGGACGAATTGTGAGAAACATGCAAAGAAAAACAAAGAAAAGAAAGAGAAGATGTTTGATGGCAGGGGTGTATTAAAACAAGAATTAATGATAATGGTGTTGTGGTGAGAAAGATGTGTCTAAGCTGTTAATTTAAGTTTGTCTGAAAACTGGCACATTGCTTTAATTCATAACACTTGGACTCACATCACAGCAACACAGCCTGAACTGCACAACTCAATGCAGAAAATACTGTACAGAGGTAATAATCATACATCTCAGCACTACAGCCAGAGTTTAAGGGAATCTTTCCATCTCCACCTCAGTCTCAGCACACTTTGCTGACCTGCTGCTCTCACTGCGCTGATGACTTTTCCACTGGATGCCATGCTTGGGCCAGGGAGTGTCTGTGTATGCCGTGTGAGCAGGCTGAGGCTGCACTCTAGTAAGAAGGCAGGAATGCAAGCCTGATTCGGCTGCTGTGAGGAATAGCGGTGTTGCACTCACACTCTAACAACTCAGTTTAAGGTTCTTGACATTGCCTCACATTTGAATACGTGCTGTCCTTTTCATCAGTAAATCAGTCATTTCTCAGCTGTTTCTGAATGTGTGAAACACGACTCACAGAAATATCAGCCTAGACGCACAAAAAGAAAAAGTATGTGGCCCTGCAAGGAAACAGAGGCAGACGTGAATAAAGCAGGTCATGGAAGACGGGGTTACCTTCTTCTGTGGAGAGGGGTCTTGGCTTGTTTCACCTCTCCTGAAACGGTCTTCAGTGAGCTGAAGGAAGGGGCAGGCGGACTGTTGATGACAACAGGAGGAAGATACACTCGTGAACAAAGATGTGGAAGCTGGCTTTAATTTCTCCTGCTGCTCGACACGGAGCAGATGCTCGGCTGCTGTGTTTGCACTTACTGTTTGCAAACGCAGTTCATGTAACGAACTCTGAATGCAATTGTGTTTTGAAAAATATCAGCCAATCTGGAATTTGACGTCAGCAGGATTTGTCAATAAAGTTGGGAGCGGAGCAACTGTTCTCGTGTTGACACCAAGTGTGTGAACAAGGAGACCCATCAGTAAAGTTTTAAAAGCCAAATGAGACAGATTCTGACCCGATACAAGGCTTAAGCTGCACAACAAAGCACAATTTCAAGGCTACCCGAGCATTAGACAGCACAACTGACTGATGCCAAAGCCACAGCTGTTGTTCTAGTCCAACCAAGAAGGCCTCCACAATGCTAACATGCAGCTTTGATACAAAGCTGCATCTTAGCATTCACATCTATGGAAAGACCTCCTTAGACAGCACAACTATACAGAGGGTCATATTTTTTACTTAGAAGATGGTCCTTTAGTGGCTCGGTGTCAGAACAGCCCGAGGTTCCAGTACCTGCTCTGTGAGAGCTCCATGTGTGTGGCTGTGTTGATCCTGCCCGGCTCCCAGCTATGGCGACGCAACGGAGACAAGGAGCGACTGGATGTGCGCAAGACGGCTGATAACACTGGAGTTTCTGGAAGCTGGTCTTTTTTCTCTTCTTCATCGCCTCCTCCCTCTACCTCTCCTCCTCTTTCTCCTCCTCCTCCTCCTCAGATGTATGTCAGAAAAAAATATTACAACCACTCACCGGTTAAGAATGAACACGTAACAGGACACATGCAACACACCCAGCACATCGTTCAAACAGTTACTACAAATACTAATGACTAATGTTCTAACTCTGAAGTAAATGCTGAGAATATGGGATGTTTCGCTGGATTTCACCAGAAGCTCATTGTGTCTGTGACCTGAGTGAAATCGGCCCTGATCTACTGTGCATAGCAACAGACAGATTTACTTTCAGCTCACAGGCAGACAGACAGGAAGTAGAACATGCCAAAGAGCTTGTAATTATTAACTTCTTCAAGGAAATAACAGTTTCAGGTATCACTGTGTGCTTTACCTCTGTCCTCCGTTTTTGACATCCAGGACAGTGTGGAGCTCTGAGGGGACACAGCGCCAGATGTGTCCACTGGCAACGCTGCTTTGCTGGGACTGACAGCTTCTTGCATCAGTGCATTACTAGTGGAGGAGTGGGCGCCACAGGCCTGGCTGTCCATGTGCCCAACACCAGTCTGAGGAGCCTCAGGCTGGAGAGAAGGGGAGAAATGTGAGGTGGATTTTACAAAGATGTAAACAAACACAAAGCTAGGGCACTGAGACACACACACACACACACACACACACACACACACACACACACACAGACACACATTTAGACAACAGAAGCATCGTCACCTTAAATTATATGGATCTTTTGATGTTTCTTTTTTCATTATTTAAATTAAGTTTCATCCACAGTTATTCTTGTTATACAGTAAAACATGCACATGCTGTAATGACATAATGTCTGAGTATTTTGGTTGCAGTGTGTACTGTGAACAAAG